AAAGAGTAAAAAAATTTGTTGTCTCATTTTTTTTTTTTTTTTTTTTTTTTTTTTTTTTTTTTTTTTTCCTTTTTTTGCTGAAAAATAATTACATACAATTAATATGCGTACTTAAATATTTGTATATATATAATAATGTCAATATATGCATGGTCAAACGTGTCATGCGTTTGTAATGTCCATGGATGTACGTGATTTAAATGAATACAACTTTAATATCTGGAACCTTTTAGCTTTTATGCAGAAGATAATAATAAATATTCGTGGGGATGTGTGCCTACGAATTCATGTTCACTTTTTTGTGACGTATTAAATTACGGAAAATAAGGTAGTGTTCATTTTATTAATTTAGGTTTGAAATTTTAATTTTATTATAATAAAAAATTCTTAAAAATAATAAAATTTAACTTTTTTACTATAATAAAAAATCTTCATATAAAATCACATATTAACTCAAATTAAAAAGTCAAATCAGTGAACTAAACGGGTCATAAATTGCGTAATAATTTTCAAACTACTAATTATAATATGCTGCGTAAGAGAGCAAGGCTTCGTTCATTTCACTGTTTCGAGTTTTGTTACAGTAATAAGCTCTAAAATATAGTCACGTTTAATTTTTTTAGTACAGTAAAAATCTCTCACATAAAGTCACATTTTAACTCGAATTAAAAACTCAAATTAGCGAACTAAATGGAATCTACATGTATGTTTGTTTTATAACTTAAATTATAAATTTGAATTGTGTATGTGAGAGAAATAAATTATATTTAAAATTTTAATTTAAATTTTTATGAGAGATCAAAACATTATACTAATAAAATTTAAATTGTAACTTAAGTTGTAAAAAGAATAAATATTACGCGGCTTTTAACAAAACTTAAGTAGGAAGTTTCTTTTTATATGATTAGGGAGAAAAAAAAAGTTCCTTTTTACACACGAATGGAAACTGGCCACCTACCAATCTTTTCTTTTCTTCTTCCTTTTTCATTTTATAGTTTAATAGATTAGGAGTAACAACCTTTATTTATTAGGATTATTATAATATGTTACATATCACGACTAAAAAAGTCCCTTAAACGACACATATTTAAATATATAGTTTTCTATAAAAATATCATCGAATATTAAAATGCGGCACAGAATATTTTGCCTTTTAGAAATCCATATCACAGATTATAGACGACGATTTATTCATAAATTTCTCTCGTAAATATTTGTTATTGGGAATATACTTTTAACAACGATCTCTTACAAGATCGTCCTTAAATTAATATAGAAAATTCAAAAAGAAAATTAAGCAAAATTTTTTCATGCCCATTTTTCAATATTATCTACACAAATTTTCAAATCTTCTCCCTCATTCTATTACTCTGAACATTCACTACTTATTCATTGTCCAGAAGATCAGACTTCTTCCCATGATTATCTTTCTCTATCCATCCATCTCTTTTTCTAGTTACCTCTCATCTCATACTCTAATTCAAAAAAGAAAAATAATGCAGATATAAATTTTTTTCAAGAGAAATTGATGAATGTGTATAAAAGATATTTGATGAAATATGATAATTAAAGGATTATAAATAGTTTATATTCAAGTACATTTATCGCTTTCAGAAACTGTCATTAAAATTGACACATTTAATCATAGTTTTCAGATGAGCTATTGTTAAAGGTGTCTATGCGCACATTTAATACCGGTGAAGAACTATAATGGTAAATCAGAAACATAAAAAAACTCTAAATTAGTTTGACGATATATTTTTCAACATCCAATTTGTTTACTAGTAACGTGCTAGTTAGTCAACAACTCGTGGAAAAATGGAATGAGTAGAAAAGGTCAATCTCTTACGGCAATATTATTTTAAAATAAAATATAAAAAGAAAAAATTAGTGACTTACCCTTTAAATGTAATTTTTACTTTTATTAATATCTTTTTATTAATACAAATTTTTTAATAAAGAGTATTAATCTAATATAAAAAGTAAAAATGTAAAATTCGTACATTTTATTTTAAGAGAGTATTTATCTTTTTTTTCTTTATGAGAAATGCGATCAATTAATGAGCGCCCGCATTTAAAATTAATTGGTCGGCAGCCCATGTGCCGACATCCTGCACTCAGGAATTACCTTTATTTTATTTTATATATAATTTTTCCTTCTCAAGCTATATATTAATATTTGTACTAGTGGAGCGCTAATGCAATCAGTTTTTATATAATTAATAACTTTTCTTTCCGTCAAAAAAGAAAATAAAACTTTTCATGTTTTTAACTTTTATTTTTGGAAAATGGTAATCACATTTGGGCTCCGTTTATTTCACCGATCTGAGTTTAAGTACAGTAAAAAACTCTTAAAAACAGTCACGTCTAATTTTTTTACTACAGTAAAAAGCTCTCACATAAAGTCATATATCAACTCGAATTAAAAACTCAAATCAACGAACTAAACAGACCCTTAATATTTAGGGGGTCTGGCTTATTAATAGTGTCAATTTTAGACTGTTAGATCATGTTAAAATTACACTAGATTAAAAAAGTATGAAGAACATACGATTTTTGAAACAGATCTGACGACTAAAAATATGAAATTATTGGTGGTTTATTTTTCACCTTTATGACTTCAATATCTGAACACTAATGTCAAACATTTATACATATTTTTTTTTCGAAATAAAACATGTTGAGCATATGAAAATTATGATATAAGACAATCATTTCGAAATAAAACATGTTGAGCATATAAAATATGAAAATTATATGCGCCTTAGGCCCCGTTTATTTTACTGATTCGAGTTTAGAATTCAAGTTTTGCTACAGTAAAAAGCTCTCACAAAGAATCACATTTAACTTTTTTGCTACAGTAAAAAGCTTTCACATAAAATCACATCTTAACCTGAATTAAAAACTTGAATCAACGAACTAAACGGGCCCTAAATACTTAATTTTTTTTTCTGTGTTGTACCTAAATTTTTACAAGTTAAGATGAACCCATCACGTCATCAAAACGGATGCTAAGAAATAAAAGCTTAAGCCTACTATTATTTGATGTCATTTAGCAGGCTTTAATGACTACCGGTAATTTAAGCATCCTTAAAAGTCCTTATACCTCAAAGAGTAAGTACATACTAGAGTTGGAAATTTTAGTCAAGATTTTAGGGGACGGTTGAGCTCATGGTTGAACAAAGATCGAACTATTGTCGACACATGCTAGCAAGACCATGTCCCTCGTTAACATGTTAGTCAAGTACAATTGTACTTCTCCTCATCAATATTTTAAGAAGAAACAATATTTTAGAGATATAGAATGCATAACTAGTTTATTAAGAAGAAATATGATATTCATGTGAGTATTATTAATTCAGTACTTAGGTAAATTTGGGAATTGGCTTAATTGTGTGTTATAAGTAGACCACTAGTGGTGTGTTTTCACTTAGATCTTCAAGTTTTCTTTGTGTTTTATTGAAATGCAATTTTCTAAAACCAACGAATTATTGCTCCTCACACGTCATGCAACTAGCTGCATAAAAGTAACCAACAAAATAATGCTGGTCGCCTTAATATGTGACCAACTTTATATATAAAACATGTTAATCGCATAAAAGCGACCGGCAAATTTGAATATATATATATATATATATATATATATATATATTGGACGTGTTGGTTGCTTATTTATTCAACCAAGAAAGTAAATGTCCGTATATATATATATATATCGGACGTGTTGGTTGCTTATTTATTCAACCAAGAAAGTAAATGTCCGGTTGCTTAAATATGAAAGTTCCACTATCCATAATAAACAAAAAACTGAAGAACATTGAAATTTTGACTTTTAACATAAATGGACCCACATTTAATGTTACAGAACGCTAAGAAGTCATAAATTAAATAGGTGACATTACTGATCCCTTGGTAAAAAAACGTCATTTGCAAAATTTGTTGTCTGATAAAGAACTTTTGATTTCATCTCGCACGACCAATGACGAGTAGAAAGATCGATTGTATAAAAAACTTGTTTTCGTTTGCAGTATCATAATGAAATAATCAGTCTGCTACTCGATTGTATAAAAAACTTGTTTCATTTTACAATATCAAACGAAATAATCATTCTTGTAGCGGACTCGCTTAAAGTTTGCTATATATTGTATTGCGTCAGTATCAATCTTCATGGTCCATGAAATATAGAATATCATCACAACGAATATCGGAATTTTTATATTTTCACCAAACGTACAAGTCTTTTATAAATAGGATATCACGAAACACGTAAAGGCTAAAGAATGTCTGATTACGCTACCTAGTTTGTCCACAATAATCAAATTAGCTCGACGCTATATTATATACCAATTATCGGACTTCGATTATTTTTTTAAGTATTAAATTCTTTTTAAAATTCTTTGGGTGTGTTTAGAACTCGTTCCAAACTGATTTTGTTTTTTGTATGAAAATGGAAATAAAAACGTTTTCAATCTCAGGCATAAATCAGTTTTAAAAATGTGTTTGGTAGTTTTATCAAAAAATTATTTTCAATATAAAAAAATCCATTAATGTCTCTCTCTCTACTCGAGAGAGGAGAAAACGGAGAAAAAAATAAAAAACGACTAAAAGTCGTTTTTCAT